GGGAGCTCCGCTCCGACGGTCAAGTTAGTACTTGTATGTGGAGTAAAAAGTGCCAAAAGGAAAGAAGGGAGATCTGGTTCCTCGAGGAGAGGAGAGATCAGGAAGTGCAATTAATTGCTAAATCTGGTCTAGCAATTAGAAAGCACGTATGTTTAGGTTTCTCTAGGTGAGTAATTAATTCTGAATCCCCTTTATCTGAGGATTAATGAATGTATTTTAGTCTTGGGAAGCGTGCTTAACCCTAGGTTTAGGTCAACCTCGGGCTGATTGGGCCTTCCCTGGAAATCGGGCCTAGGAGGCCTTTTTCCTAGTTGGAAAATAGCCGTCCACGTGGCGTGGCACGATTCGTCCATGCTGGACTGGCCACTGCTTAACACGTGGCAGGCCCTGGTTAGTCCATGTGGCGGACACTTGGTAGGGCCTGATTGGTCTACGTGGCAGACAGCGATTGGCGGGGAAAATCCCCTAATCAAAAGCAATAAAGCAAGACATAATTAAATCAAAGCAATAAAATTACTGAAAGTAAAGAAGGAAGAAATCGTGACCAAAATTAGTGGAAATAATGAATTGCAAAAAACTCAAGAGAGTACAAAGAGAAAGTAAGAGTATTAACAAAAGCTTAAACTAATAATCATCCGTAATTTTAGTAAAGAGAGTGAAAAACGTCCTTAACTTCCTAAAAAAACGTATTTATATTTAAAATAAAAAGATAAAACAAATTATATCTTTAAACTCCTTCAGAAACACGCGCTCGGTCAGGCGGCATCTCGCCCTGCCGAGCGCGCCTTCGGGTGAGCAACTACTCTCTTCCTTCTTCCTCACCCTGCCGGGCGCGCCTTCGGGCAAGGGCTTGCCTGCTGGGCGCGCCTTTGGGCGAGGTCTCACCCTGCCAGGCAAGCTCCCAGGCAAGCTTGGACTTCTTTAATTGGGTCGTTTCTTAGCCTAATTCACATTTCCTCTTTGGGTTCTGAATACATGGTCCATTACCCCAAACTCTTCTTCTTTGCCGGGCCCTTAATCACCGATTTGATGACTCCAACCGGTCATGGGCTTCGGAATGTGGTCATATAAATGCGACCTTACTTCAATTCTCGTAGTGGCTACAATAAATCCAGGAAAATGCTCCAAATCTGCAATTTCTTATAAAACAACACCAAATCTACGAAAACACTAGAAAACGCATATTAGTAACAAAAGTAGCTCCGTAGAGCTAAAAAAAAAACAATTACGACCATTGGGGCGGGGAATAAATATATATATATAATAGGCTTATCAATAGAAACCCTAGGTCCCCATAATATTGAGTTTAAAATTTGTCATTCCAAGAACAACACTTACCAAACTAATGCGCATACGTGATGGGCTGCGCCAAAGCGAGGCATCACTACTTCCCTAGGAATGTAAGGTATACTAGGTATACGAGTTGATCTTTGCTAAGCTCAACGATATCAGTAAGGAGTCCTTAGATTTTGTGGCAAAAGAGATAAAATGTCAAGAATGCATTAGATGCGACGTTTTATCAAACTGAGAGTACCTTAGAGCTATTAGCAATTGGATTGCTTACCTTAAGATATTTAATGTTAAGACAAGCTAAAGCATGCTTAATCATTTCTTGATCTTTAGGATATCTCGGAATCATTTTATTCTCGCCAAAAGGGACAAATTATTAATGCGTGGATAAAATGCTCAATAAGATTGAAAATTTGCATAAACGCTTTGAAATTTCAAACTTATTGATTATATGAATGGTTTTTCATTTCAAATTCTTTCAATTGTAGAACCATGTCTGCAAGTAACTCAAACAACCAGTTTTCATTACGCTCAATTCTCGACAAGGAGAAATTGAGTGGGCCAAATTTTCTCGATTGGCAAAGGAATTTGCGTATTGTTCTCATGCAAGAGCAAAAGGAATATGTCCTTGATGAGGAAATGCCCGACACACCCAATGAGGAGGTCACTCAGGCTACCCTTAACCGATGGCAAAGTGCCAATCAGGATGTCAAATGCATCATGTTGGTCACTATGTCTTCGGACCTTCGAAAGACTTTCTTTGAAAAGGAAACGGCTTTTGAGATCATTTCTGAGCTTCAGAATATGTTTTAAGAGCAGGCCCGAACTGAAATCTTTGAAACCCACAGGAAGATCCTTGAGAGCAAGCTCAAGAAAGGAAAGCCGGTTAGCCCCCATGTTCTTAAAATGATTGGATTGTTTGAGAACATGGAAAGGCTCGATGCTGGTTATTCAACCGAGATGGCAATTGACATCATTCTCCACTCGCTGCACAAAGGCTATGATCAGTTCAAAATGAACTATAATATGCACAACTTGGAGAAAACTCTCACCGAGCTTCATTGTATGTTGAAGCAGGAGTAGCAAACCCTCAAAGATGAGGGAAATAATGATATGCTCATGGTAAGAAAGGGCAAGCCATTTAAGCGCTCGGGCAAGAAGAAGAGCTTTAAAGGGAAAAAGAAGAGTTTTCCGCCTAAGTCAAACACTGCCAAGAGCAGCAAGGACCAAAAGGTAGCCTCTTCTAAATCCGACTCCGAATGTATCTACTGCAAGAAGAAGGGACATTGGAAACGGGGCTGCCTCAAATTCAAGGAAGATAAGAAGAACGCCACCGTTGCTTCTTCATCAGGTATTTTTGTTATAGACTTAAACTTCGCTAGCAAAACATCATGGGTATTAGATACCGGATGTGGCTCATACCTTTGTTCTAATGCTCAGGGACTAAGGATAAATAGGAAGCTAGAGAAGGGAGAGGTCGAGCTTCGGGTCGGCAATGGAGCTAAGATGTCTGCCGTCTTCGTTGGAACTCTCAGTTTGTCTTTGCCCTCTGGGCTCATTTTAGAACTTGACAATTGCTATCATGTTCCTAGAGTTACCAAAAACATTATTTCAATTTCGGCGTTGGACGCCAAGGGTTTTGAATTTTGAATTAAGAACAATAGTTGTTCGTTTTATTTCGATAATGTTCTATATGGTAAGGCATATTCAGAAAATGGTATTTATGTACTTTCTCTTGACAAACAAGTTTATAACATTAATGATACCGCCAAAAGGGCGAAGACCATCAAGTCGAATCAAAACTACTTGTGGCATTGTGGTCTTGGCCATATTAACGTTAAACGCATCAAGAAACTTCTACAAGAAGGTGTTCTTGACTCATTCGACTTAGAGTCGTTTGAAAATTGCGAAGGATGTCTATTAGGCAAGATGATAAAGCAGCCATTCTCCAAGTTGGGAGAAAGGGAAAGTGACTTATTGGGTCTAATACATACGGAGGTATGTGGACCAATGAGTACACCCGCAAGGCAAGGTTATCGATATTTCATTACCTTCACCGACAACTATAGTAGATATGGCTATGTCTACCTTATGTCGAATAAATCTGTATCCTGTGAGATATTCAAAGAGTTTCATAGAAAATTTGAGAATCAACTTGGCAAGAAGATAAAAGCAGTTCGATCGGATCGAGGTGGCGAATTGAATATTTGAGCCATGAATTCGACGATCACTTGAAAGAAAATGGTTTTCTTTCAGAGTTGACACCTCCTGGAACTCCTCAATGGAACGGAGTATTCGAAAGGAGAAATCGAACCTTGTTCGATCAATGATGGGTCTTAGTGAACTTCCTATCTCTTTCTGGGGACATGCGTTACTAACTGCGGCACTAACACTAAACCGTGCTCTGTCAAAAGCTGTCAAAAAGACTCCATATGAATTATGGACTAAGAAACCTCTAAGGTTGTCTTTTCTTATGATTTCGGGTTGCGAAGCATATGTCAAGCGATTAATTTCTGACAAGCTTCACCCGAAATCAGACAAGTGTTTCTTTGTGGGCTACCCAAAAGAAACTAAGGGGTATTACTTCTACAATAAATCCGAGAACAAAGTGTTTGTTGCTCGTGATGGTGTCTTTTTAGAGAAGGAACACCTTTCCAAAATGACAAGTGGGAGGAAAATCGAACTCGACGAAGTTCAAGAGGACGAGTAACAATGTCAACCTGATAAAACTGACAATCAAAATTCTTTAGAAGCAGTTGATAAGATTGTTTTGAATCAAACAGACAATTTAAATGCTCATCTTATTACCCTTCGTAGGTCGCAACGGCCAAGATCTCAACCAAACAGATACCTTAGTATTGTCTTAACCAAAGATCAGGACATCCTAGTCGTGGATGGAGATGTGCCAGCAACAAACAAACAAGCTATGACGAGCCCCGACTCTGCTAAATGGCAAGAGGCCATGAAATCTGAGATGGACTCCATGTCTGAAAATCAAGTTTGGAACTTGGTAAATTTGCCCGAAGGTTATACACCCATCGGTTGCAAATGGATTTTCAAATTGAAAACAGACAAAGATGTAAATGAATCAATATATAAAGCTAGACTTGTGGCAAAAGGTTACAGGCAAATCCACGGGATTGATTATGATAAAACCTTTTCAACAGTCGCAATGCTTAAGTCCGTCCGAATCATCCTAGCGATTGCTGCATACACTAGACGAAAAAGGTAAAAAGGTACCAGTTCAAACCCCCCCGGCACCGGTTTTGAACCGTTGGGGATTTGAGGGATGCCAAATCCATGAAAATTTGGCACCGGTTCAAAACCGGTGCCAACTAAAGCATTTAGCACCGGTTAACCGGTGCTAACTACTTGATTTGTAACCGGTGCCAATTACCCATGGCACGCTTTTTTTTATTTCAGTATAATAGGCACCGGTTTTGGCTTAGAACCGATGCCAAAAGTCCCCTAATAGGCACCGGTTTGACTTAAGACCGGTGCCAAAAGTCCCCAAAAAAATTAAAAAAAAACTTTTGGCACCGGTTCTTTTCCAAAACCGGTGCCAAAAATGCCCAAAAAAACATAAAAAAAAAAAATTATTTTTTTTGCTTTTTTTTCACTTAAATTGTACCAAATACTTATATATAATCAAAACATACATAAAACACATATATTTTCTCCAATAACTTGTAATATTACACTTTAAAAAACTAAAAAACAAAAAAAAAAAAAAAAAAAACACTTGAGATTACAGTGTTATACTACTGTGCTGCTATCTGTTTTCCTTTTGCAGCCATGTTGCTGGTTTTGTGGGGAGTTGTGATGCTGAGCTGCTGTGTTGCTAGGCTGGTTCTTGGTGGTGATGCAGATGTGTCTGCTAAAGAACAAACATTTAAAAGTATATAAGAAGCTGGCACAAATGAACAAGGGAAAAGTTGTTCTAATTTCTAACATATTAATGTGCATATCCATCCGCCCTGGCCTCAATAATGCAGGATCAAGCTTCTCCTTATGGTTTGTCGTGAAGACAAATATTCGTTCATCCCCACAACTAGACCATAGACCATCAATGAAATTCAGCAAACCTGACAATGATATCTGCATTCACAAACCAGTGGTCCAACACAATAATATCCCTAAATTACACCCACGCTATAATTACTCTGCAATAAGTTCGTAAAAAAGATTAGCAGTGGAAACCAAAGTACTATTATATCAAAAGTGAGAAATCAATAACCAAGCAATTAAGTTTTTCAGACAGGACTATATTGAGAAATTTGGATCACAAACTAGTTTATGTACAGTAATTAATTTTGTAATAATCAGAGAACAGTGAAATACGACCACTCAAGGCCAAATTGATAGTTTTGACTGGCATCATCTGTCATACACAATAGAGTAAGAAAACTAGCACATTTGATGAGATTTCCCAGCAAAGCAACAGATGGGGATGATTGAAGAGAAAGTAAACCAGTTCAAGTTTTATCCTTTACCCATAAGAAATACCAAAAGAGAACTAGATTTGCTGGGAATCATGGTATTTTGAGCTTGCTGCCTTTAGGTTACTGTGGGTTTGCTGCTAATGATACTTGGGAAAGAAACACTTACACGGTAACAAGTAGAGGGTTCTTGAAAAAATATTAAAATTTTATCTATATTAGAAATTTACTAATCAGAAAGAAAAGGCACGCAATGATATGAATAAACCACCTATGATAAAATGCAAGTCAGTAAAAAGTCATTAATGAAAAAAGATAGCAACGTACTTCTTTGCTTGAGTTTCCATTGCATAATCCAGCCCAAAACATTCGACGATTCCGCTCCAACCTAGTTTGCTCCAAAAGCAAACAAACCTGAATTTTAACCCAATTTCTAATTTAATGCATCTATGGCAGCAATAATCATCTGCGCATAAGAACTGAAAACAATTAAAACTTCTATCACCACAGAACTTCAAAAGATGGTCCATTGAAGAGTTGGTCAAGAGAAAATGCAATTTATTAAGCAAACATTTATAAATGACACTAGTGCTAACAATTAACAGATCATCACCCCCGCCCTTCCCATTCCACTCTTTAGTCTTTACTAGGCCTGCTTCATAAAAGGAACTAGGGTAAGGGTATAGGTCTTTATGAGATAAATGGTAAGTATTCTGTATTAAACACATCTACGCTATCAAAAATTAAGCTAAGCCTAACAACCCCATTCCTACCCATAAGAGGAAATGTAATAACAAAGACTGTCAATGTTAAGCAAAGTCAAAGCTACACAAGAACATAACAAAGCAACTGTACATTAAATGTGTAAGCTTTACATCGAGCACTTCAAATTATATCAACACCACCAGTCTATATAAGCAGAAATTGATATGGTTAATAGAGAGGGATCATGTGATAGTGAAACAAATGTTTATTTAATGGAATAACTTAAAGTTTAACCAGAAGATTATATAAATTAGGATACTAGAAACACTGCAAAAGTCACATGACTAGAAGATGGATATATATAGCAAACTCCATAAGCACTCAATGGAATCATTTGAGGCCAGAAAAAACTTCATCCAGAAAACTGCCAAAACTAAGGATAGAAAGGCTACCTTCGTGCCCTCATGAAAGATTGGAAGCTTCTCAGAGCATGAATTTATTTTTTAATTTGAATAAATTTTCCTATAGAGCCTATGATATATTTCCCCCAAAGTCAACAGCTGGCAAACAAAAGGAAAGAAAGACTGGTGCAGAAAGGAATAGTCGAATACAGGTTAAAGCCTTTTCCAAAATCCTAAACTAGAAACTTCCAACATGGCATGACTCTTCTTTTAATCCAGGGGAATTTGGTACAATGGAAAGCCATTTTAATGTCACAGGAGCAAGATCAATAGCGATTATCACCTATCGCATTTGACAATAATACAAGCACCTGAATTTTAATAAATGAACATTGAATTAAAACAAACAAACCTGAATTTTAAGAGCAGCAGAATTCTGCTTGCGTTGAAACATTCGACGATTCCGCTCCAACCTAGTTTGCTCCAAAAGCTTTTGCTGTCTCTCTCCTTGGAGCTCCGACCACCTAAATCAACCCGTTTTTGAGCAGATGGATCGCCCGAGATGAACATTGTTTCTTGCAAAAATTCTACACCAAAAATCAAAAACCCACGATTAATTCTATGAAACAAATGTAAGAATTACATTAAATTGAAAAAATAAAAAGAAAAATTTAGTTAGTGGCTTCTTGTTGTATTTGTACAGCAAGTTCCCTAGTTGGAGCCAGAACTAACACAATAGGACCATCACCAGGAGCTGAAGAATGACACGAACTTAAGTTAAGGCAATTAAGAGGCAAAGACGGACAGGTTTAGCATACTAACCAAATTTGCACAGTATGCTAAAAATAACTACAGTATAAATAATGCAAGTAATGTGATTGTGTGTATTATATATATATATATATATATATATATATATATATATACATATATATATATATATATATACATAACAATTGTTTCTTTAATTTAACATTTCAACACCATCAAATGCATATTTCAGCCCAACTTATTCATCCGCTCATTTTGCAGGAAATTCTAACAGACACAGAAACTATGAAGTTAGGGGTAGCACAGTGGGTAAGGTGTTTAATGCCTTAGGTGCAGTATCGGCCATGATCGTGAGCAACAATTCAGGCATATAGAGTAAAAGTACAGAGTACTATGTTTAGAGAGTAAACATTCTTTTATTTTCCGAAAGCTATCAGAACCTTGAATATGTGCTTTGAAGCATACACTCAGTCACATAGTGAACCACTGGACAATCTATGGACCACAACAGATAGCAAATTCCAGCGAGCTCTACACACGTCATGTAGTTTAGACCCTTGTAAGAAATTTAACTTTATAATCTTGTTTCAGTATAACCTGATAATTCACATGTGGAAGTAATTTGTCCCAAAAAAGTGACTTATTATACAACTTCTTAAATCCCAAAAAGAAAATTTTACATTTTATTAGGTCATGCATGAAAGTAGTCTAGGAACAGAAATGAAGAGGAAATATAAAGCCAAGGAACCGTATTCAATAAAAACACTACACCAGACAGAGAAAAAGACACATACTCCCTTTTTCTTTTATGGTGGCTTCTTAAACTGAAATTTGTTTGATCAGCAGCAGTATTATTTTCAACTCTTGTTCGACCAGCTGAATCCTAGTCAGCATGATGAATAATTACACATTGAAAAGATTATAAATGAAATTGTTTTACAAAAAAACAGAAGGAAATCTGATTAAACAAAAGCAAAACTAACTCACATCAAACACGGCCGATGAGGGAGCTTCGGGCTCCCCATAATTGATCTTAGCAAAATATGCATGCATCATGTCTGAGATGTCCATTACCTGGGAAACAATGTCATGAAACAACTTAGCTTAAGAGTTCTAAACAATAAGTATTCAAAGAAAGGACCTGGAGACCTCTTAGGGCTGTCACAGACTATCCATTTCCTCCAACTACATCTCATTTAGCAATGAGGATGAATTATGAATATGTTGATCACCTTGTTGCAAGTTGCAAATACAAGGTTGACACTTGACAAGACTAAAATCATGTAAGACCCTAGTAGCCTAGACTATGATTTTATTTTATTATAATTTATAAAAAAAAAACATTGAATGGAATTTTTATAATTTGATATAAGTTATCTTTGAAATTTAGTGTTAATCCAAAATTACCAAAACACCTGAAAAATAGAATTTTGCTCAAACATTAACTAAATACCACAAGCTGGAAAATAATAAATACGGAGTAGTCACTAGACGAAAAAGATAAAAAGGCACCGGTCCCCCATCCCCAAATTCTTTATTTCTTTGCTCTATTAGTGTGGTCAATTGACTATATCTAATAGTGTGTGTGATCTATATCATTATTTCTATTATTTGAAATTTAATGCTCATATGAAATTTAAAGAACATAATATAACCTAGTAATCCGACAGCGTCCTAGGCTACTACTACTGTAATGGAACATATTGAAGTATTGAACCAATAATGTAGCATCAAAAGTTCAAAATGCTAGTCACAATACACCAACTTCATCGCAATCACTAAAATCAGTAAGTAACACAAACATAACTCCCAAGTCCAATTTCTCCTCTAAAAATAAAAACTCTAAACCAGCTTTGATCAATAAAACTCAAATTAATCTTCGCCCTACCATATTATATAACAAAAATCAAACAAATGCTACCAAATTAACAGCAAAATATTTCATGAAAACTAGTAATAATTAACACATGAACCAGAAAATATTAACAAAATAAACCTTCGATCACTCAAACAAACGGCAAAATTATAACCAAAAAAGAAAATGATTCTAATTAATATATAATGATACAACATCATAAACAAGAGGAAAACCTAACCACAAATTGGGAGCAATCAGAAACCCTAAATGAATGCCGAAGATCACAAATTCGAAAATTGGAGGAAAACTTTAAGAAAATGGAATCAAATTAAAGCAAAGCAGTATGCACTAAAGCACGAAAAGAGTGGAAATAAAACCTACTTATTTTGTTTGACAAAAAATAGAAATAAACCCAGAACCCTAAAATTACAAAATTGAAAACCAAATCAACGAAAAACCCTAGGTTGCGAAGAAATTCGGTAGATTAAGAAGACCACAATGGCCCAAATCTTACCTAGAAGCTGCTTCAATGGAGGTGAGAAAACTCAGAATGCGCTTCAATGGAGAATAGAGAGCACGAGTTCAATGGAGGAGAGATATGGAGAGAGAAGGAGGTGCATGCAGCTGCTTCAATGAAGTGAGAGAGCTCAAAAACGGCTTCAATGGAGAAGGTGGGAATTCGGAGGTGGTGGCCTGGAAGAGAAGGTGAGAACGAGCTGAGGGAAAAAACAAGTTGAAAAATCAAGGGGAAAGAAAAGAAGAAGAAGAAATACGAGCTGAGAAGCCCGGTTTTTTTTTTTTTTTTTTTTTAATGGCATTGGTTCAAACCGGTGCTAACTACTATAGTGGGCACCGGTTTAAGACGAACAGGTGCCAACTCTATTGCTTTCTTCTTTTTTTTTTTTCTTTTTTTTTTTGGGTTGGCACCGGTTTCAACCGGTGCTAAGTAGATTAGTTGGCACCGGTTTTGGTTGCAACCGGTGCCAAATCTGAATTTTCCAATCCCGCCCATTTCTTTAGGCACTGGTTTTCAAGAACCGGTGCTAAAGGGGGGTGCCTATTTCAAAATTTCTACTAGTGATATTACGATTACGAAATATGGCAAATGGATGTCAAAACCGCCTTCCTTAATGGAATTTTGGAAGAAATTGTGTATATGACACAGGCGGAAGGTTTTGTTGATCTAAACAACGCTGGAAAGGTATGCAAGCTTAAGAAGTCCATTTATGGACTGAAGCAGGCAAGCAGAAGTTGGAATCTGCGATTTGATGAAGCCTTTAGTAAGTTTGGTTTTATCAAATATCCAAATGAGTCTTGTTTTTACAAGAAGGTCGGTGGGAGTGACATCGCATTCCTAGTCCTGTATGTCGATGACATAGTGCTCATTGGAAACAACACAAAATTATTAGAGTCCGTAAAGGGCTGGCTGGGAAAGTGCTTTTCAACGAAGGACTTAGGAGAGGCATAGTACATATTGGGCATCAAGATCTATAGGGATAGTTCTAAGAGGATGATTGGATTGAGCCAGAGTACTTACATTGATAAACTATTAGCACGATTCAGCATGGAGAATGCCAAGAGAGGGTACCTACCCATGTCCCATGGCGTAACTCTTAGCAAGAAACAGTGTTCACAGACACCTGTTGAGCGGGAGAGAATGAATCAGATTCGATATGCTTCGCTAATTGGATCGATCATGTATGCCATGATATGTACTAGGCCTGATGTATCGTATGCCTTAAGTGCTACGAGCCGATACCAATCAGACCTAGGAGAGGCGCATGGGAATGCGGCTAAGAATATCCTTAAGTATCTGAAAAGGATTAAGGATAAATTCCTGGTCTATGGTGGCCACAAAGATTTGGTGTTTGAAGGTTACACCGACTCTAGCTTCTAGAATGACAGAGACGACTTTAAGTCACAGTCAGGGTACATATTTTGCCTAAATGGAGAAGCGTTTAGTTGGAAGAGTGGCAAGCAAAGCACCACTGCAGATTCTACAACTGAAGCTGAATACTTGGCAGCTTCGGAAGCAGCTAAGGAGGCACTTTGGATTGGTAAGTTCATCAGTGAACTTGGCGTTGTACACTCCATCAAGGGTCCAATAGACCTCTATTGTGACAACAATGGAGCTATTGCTCAGGCCAAAGAGCCGAGAGAGCACCAGACGATCAAACATGTCCAAAGGCGATTTCACATGATAAGGGAATGGAAATCCGAAGGTGAAATCAGAATTTGTAAGATCGGAACCAATGACAATGTGGCCGATCCTTTGACTAAACCTCTGCCTCAAGTGAAGCACAACAAGCACGTCGAGGCAATGGGAATCAAGCACATTGGATATTGGCTTTGAATTCCCTATACATGTGTTCTAATTAAACTAGATGTCTTAATGTAAAACACTATATTGAAACCATTCATTTTTTTTGGAGGAATTGAAACCATTCATTTATGGAGTAAGCAATTTTATACAAAATTACTATTCAGTTCATTTCTATTTAATTGTGGTTTAAAATTAAATAATGAGTCCATTCGATTTATGAGAATATTCAAAATATGGTATCAAGACCATATCTTGGATAAAGAAACACATGTTAAGTGAACATTGAATATTTTAATCGAAAATTATCCCTAATCGAGGTCATTTAACTAATGGACGATTAATGACCACTAGAGATTAGTGTGTAGTATGATTTACAGCACTGTTTCTTGTGTTGCAAGGACATAGTAGTCATAAATCATTTGCACAGGTTCTGGTTTAGAACTGCACCGAATTGACCTATGAGAGTACTTTAAGAGATTTAAAACGCCATAAGTACATTTCTCATTATACCTATCGGAATCTATTTCCTCAACCATGAGTATTGTGAAGGTCTCTTGTTTGAGTACTAGCCTTTTTGATGTTGTCAAACGTCCGCAGTAACTGGGGATTATAACGGGAACACTCGGGAGATTAGGTCCTCTTAGTAAAGGAGGCTTATAGTACAAGACTGGGAATGTCCCCTTATTAACAATAGGGAATATGTCTTTGTTGTTTATAAGGCCGCTCGAAGAGCGAGACTGTGAAAATGCATGGCTGTGCTCAGATGGATTTTAGAAATCATTTGCTTATTGACAGTCGAACTCGGAGATCGAGAAACACTTTCGGACGTAATAAGGATGACAAAGATTCTTACCTTATAGTTCATGAAGAGACATTAAGCGACATAGGAAATAGGCTATACACTGTATGCACACTTGTCCGGAAGGACAAGTGGGAGATTGAAAGGAATGGTGTCCTTCCAACAAGTGTATTATTCTGATAGAGGGTTCAGAATTATCAAGAAGCTAATTCTTAAGTGAGATCAAGTGATCGGAATGCTTGGGTGGAGGCCGCTTCCGATATGTAATATTAGTGAATAATTAATATTACAGCTTTGTCTTAACTGAACCCTTCGGGTCGAACCCAAACGAACTGCCGATCCGAACCGACAAATTAATCCGATGGATTTGATGAGTCACTAGAGTATTACGAACGCAGACGTCGGATATCGATCCTAGGGCGTTGAGACTGAGCGTCGCAAAATCAACAAGCAACAAGTTTGAGCAAAGCCGTAGCATCACATTGGCCTAGCCATGTGGTTACTAGGCTAGCTTGAGCTAGCACAACACCATCGCAGCACCTTGGGTGTGCGTGCGTGCGTGCGTGCAATGCTAGCACAGCACCATCGCAGCACCATGCATGCTTGCATGTGTGTGTGCCTTCGCATGGCAACACCATCGCAACACCATGCTTGCTTGCGTGCGTGCGCATGTGTGCATGCCTTCGCATAGCACTATGCTTGCGTGTGTGTGTGCCTTCGCATGGCAGCACCATGCACAGCGAGCTAGGAGCCTCGCCCAGCATCAGCAGCGAGCTAGGGGCCTCGCCTAGCAGCACGCATGCGCTTGCTAGGTTGTGCGTGCTAGCTGTGCTCGGCTGGCTGTGCTAGCTAGCCAGCAAGGCTGGTAGCGAGCTCACCCTTGCTTAATGCCGGTTTAAGGAGACTGGGGACCAAGGCTTAAAGTCATGCCTTGGGGAGGAAGGCAATGGTCCCCTCATGGTTATGGTCCTCACCTAACCTCTCCTCTCCTCATGCCACTTGTTGATTGTTGATTGCATTATTTTATATTTTATTTTTGATTTAAATATATTAGATGAAAAATGCAACTATCCTACATTGATCATGAATGGGAGTGCAAGTTGCATTTCCCTATAAATACCCCATGATTGGGCATTTGGAAATCAACTTGAGTGGAACTCAAAAAGGCATCTCTTATTATTGAGAAAACCTTTATGTTCGTAAAACTCTAGTTTTATACTTGGTCAAGTCTCGACTAACCCACGAGACGAAGATCGTTTGGGTCGGGTCCTGGGTACGAGCCGTTGGAGGTTGTCATGCTTGTGAGGCTTTAAGCTTTGAAGTAAGAGCTCGGTTTACGAGCAAAGCACGCTTCAAGGGTATTACTTCTTTCTCCCTTTTCTCAATTATTGTTTAATTATGTTTATGCATGTTTTACTGCTTTAATTATTGGGGTGGGTCTTAGGCGAGTTTCTCTTTCGCGTAGCGTTGGACGCTACCCAAAACCCAACATAATCCTGGTCTAATTATAATTTAGTTGTATGGGGTTTGAAAAGATCTTTCCAACGATATATTATAATCCCACATCCGACTTAAAACAAGTAAGTTATGGCCAAAATACTAAACCGAGCCCAAATCAGACCTAGGTCCACCTCACCTATGTCCCAATGATCATGTGAGGGTCCAAATACCATATTCCTAATCCTAAACCAATTAGGATTCCTTAGGAGCTTGTAGAAGTCCTCTAGAAGGTTCTAATCTATCCTTTCCGATAAGATAAAGATCAAAAGAATTCGAAGCCGAATAAAACTTTTCATATGATAGCCCTTATCCCATCCAAATTACAAGACGTCCGAATATGGTTCAATAATCTAATTCTATTAGAAATTTTACTCCGTACGGATTCATTGTCATCGCAAAGCAACATAACCATTGCGCCACGTCAGCTCCATCGCGTCGCGATAGGTCTATCGCCCCGCGATGAAACCTGTTTTATTTCGATTTAAATTCCGATCTTTTCTGATCGCGTTGACTATTTTTTTTCCCTATAAATAGAGGTCGTTTTCTCCGTTTCAAATCATAAAGAATCATCATATTCATCATTATCCCAAAGTTCATAACCCGGAATTATGCGTATCCAAGGTACCAATATCATCATTTTAATATTTTTATTTATTTATATTGAGTCATCTATTAATCATGAGGTTGAGTGGCGTCAATCCTAAATTTACGCGTGATTAATTGAATTGGAGTTGGAGTAGAATTAGTAGATTGATAAGATATTATTTTCTAATATTATTAGAAGATAAATTTTGTTATTTAGGATTAGTATTTAGTATTTATATCTTATATATTTTATTTTATCTTTTAGTTATCCTAACGGCATGGGATGTTTGCCTATAAATATTCTTTATTTTTATAAAATGAAGGCTGAGAAGTTTTGAGTTATAATTGATCAATTCGTATGAATTGTTTTAGCAAGAGAATTGCAAATGATATTTTGTTGAGAAAGCTACTAATTTAGTTGTTAATTAATATTGGTTAGATTAAATAGCTTCATATCCCCGAATTTCCTGAAGAACCCATAAAAATATGCATCAAATTGGTGTGGCTGCTGCTACTGATGTTAGGCGAGGGAAACGGTGCACTTCTTGAAGTTTCGTGCAATATTTTGTTGAAATCGGGCCTAATAA